AGTGCTAGGGAATCATGGGAATTGTTTTTTTTCCTGAGACATTGAGCCTTCTCTGTCAGAGAGCTCTGGTGCCACAATAAAATACAGTTCTCATGATTCCCTAACCCTGATCCTGACCCTAAAAGTGGACTCAATTTGCACTATTTCTGGCAGTCTGCAACCCCCCTAAGTCTATAGTCCAAAACCATTTAAAAATACCAGTTAAAAAGAAATTGGCAATTGGCTCTAATGGATGTGGATGATAGTTTGGGTCTCTTTAACTGTATTCTACCTTCACAGTTATCTTGGCCTCTAAAACTAGGACATAGATTCTGCCAGATTCTGATGATCTCTTTCTGTTGCCTTCATTTTAATTCATTCAGCTATGACCATAATCACCTGTTTGTTTGACTTCAAAAGGCCTTGTTTACATCCAGAGCATTTATGTCCCATTGGGATCAAATGTGAACGTTTGGTTCTCATGATTGATGTTCTAGTGATCAGTGGGACAAAAATGTGACTATTTTGTTCTAGATCATTGGTGGAGAAATTTTGGACTGCATGCATCTACTATCCCCTTTTCTGGCAAACATTCCCTGACTGATCCCTCTAAAGTCCCTATGTGCAGCCCTAGCCTGCATAGCCAATAATGAAGAGTGCTGTGGGTTGTAGTGCAGCCACATCTGGAGAGTCACATCATCATTCTTGGACTATATTTAACATTAGTCCTACCTAGAGCAAAATCACTGAAGTCAATGGGACTCTATTTAACTGGAAGTCCTGGTGGTACAGTGATCAAATGCTGATACTGCAGCCACAAGATTATAAGTTTGATTCCAGGACTCCAAGACTATAAGAATACAAGTCCCTAGTTTCACTGGGCCTTGTTTCTGCTTTTATTTTATTTCATTTTGTTTTATTTGGCCAGATACCCTTGTAAAGAAGCTTGGAACAGCAGAGTATGTGTATCTAAAAATGAAGATAATTTTCAGAGGGTGTGTAGGGAATACGTGCGTCTGTCTGAAGTTTAGAGAGGAGCAGATGAAACAGATCAGAGGCTAACAGTTGTTTGAAATAACAATTGCACACATGGTTAAGTAGTTTCATCTCTGTTTTGCAAAAAGCCTTGACTGATTGAGACTAATAACTAGACTGTTAATTTTCTTGTGAAAGGTTGCTTGCCATCAAGCCCTCACCTTCAGTGGCTGTGTATTGTGTTTTGATAATCACAATTTTCAGATGGAATGCATTAGAGAAGAAGATTCTGCTTAGCTACCAGTTATCCAGAGCAGGTCAGGTAAATCATTTCTTTCATAAGGCTTGACACCTGCTGCTAGCTGCTAGGCTGGACCCTTATATATTACTGATGTGCAAATGCAGTCTGGCTAGCACTGCAGGAGCTGTCCTCCTGTCCTATACAGTGTATGTTTTCTCCAGTGGCCTGTATCTGTATCTGACATTATTTAACACTATATATGAGCAGAGAAGTACTATTGACTTGTGGAGAGAGACTCAGATTTTTTGGATGTGGGGAAATTGGCTTTAAATTACATCTCAGCAGTGGATTTATTTAGTGACCTTGCAAAAGTCAATGTCCATGCTTTTACCATCAGCCATGGACAAGAAACCCTTAGTCCATGAGTGGCATCCTTATCTCCCCCCGCTCCTAAATTTTGCCACCAAAATTTGATGGCAAGGTAGTAAAAGCCCTTTGACACAAGCAAAATCTCCATATTTAAAAAACAATTTGCAGTTTGCTTGAAGTTTGGCAGTCAACTATGAGAAGCCTTTACAACAGAAATATGAATTATGAGGCCTGCATTTCTCAAACTCCTGCATACACACATACATTTACATGTAAAATACCACATGGTAGCACTGCTTTCTTCCTAAACATTGTTTTAGGGTCTCCCCAGCCTGAAATAGCCAAAAGGTATCCTTGGAGGTGACAAAAATCACTGTAACATCACTTCTGGTTCCCTAAAATAGCAGTGGTGGAATTCACATAGGAGTGGGAAAACCTGAAAATTGCCCTCTGACACTTTTAATGTACCCAGCTGTGCATTAAAACAACAATTTCTCTCTTGTTCTTTCTTTGTTTTGTTGAAATTCAATTGTAATTTGGAATTTGCCAGTGGATTTTGGCAACATGGAGGTAAGGTTTGGGGTGTGGGGGGGAGGGGGGGAGGATGAGACAAACTTGCCTGTTTCCAGCCTAAAGAAATGATGTCAGAAACATGGAGGTTTCATATAGCTGTCATGGCTGCCACTCACTGGTAGATTTATTTTTTTCTGAATTTGCCAAAATTCCTTTTAAATAGCCTTCTAAGTGAATTGTCATTATCATGAAAGTGTTTATGCTTTTGTAGGTCCCCATCTGGTAGAAAACTGCTTCCCAATGGACCCACTATTATTCCATGCGTAAAAACTGACTGTACTGGTACTTGAATATTATATATTCTTATGTACTTTGTTTTTACTCATTGTTCTAATTTGTCTGTTTGTTAATTGTTTCATATGACTTTTAGCCTTTAAAAAAGGCTAGGTTGGGTTATTGTAATATCTTAAAGAGAAGAGACGTGGTGGCTCATGTAGTTAAGTCACTGACTCTGTTGATTGCAAGATCAGTAGGTTGGCAGTTTGAGGCCCAAGTGTCTCATGAAGGGGTGAGCTCCCATCACTAGTCCCAGCTTCTGCCAATCTGTTTGAAAGCATGCAAATGCAAGTAGATAAATAGGTGCCACTTCTGTGGGAAGGTAAACAGCGTTCTGTGTAATCAGGCTGGTCACGTGATGACAGAGTAGTCTCTGACAACTCTGCCTCTTCAGCTTAGTAAGAGAGATGAGCATCACCCCCTACGGTCGGACACGACTTGACAACTTTGTCAATGGGGAATACCTTTACCTTTACTAATATCTTAAAGGCACCAGATCTTAGAAGTTAAGAAGAGTCAGCTCTGGTTAGTACTTGGATGACACTGCCAACAAATACCAGGTGCTGTAGGCTATATTTCAGAGGAAAGAACTGATAAAATCACTTGTGAGAATTCCTTGCCTGAGAAAACCCTATGAAATTCATGGAGGCACAATAGGTCAACAGGCAACTTGAATGCTTATGCACACACACAAATATTAAATTTAAATGAATGAACAAATAAATATTTTCCAGCACTGATCTTGGGACAACAGCCTCTTCTAAACCTATAGGTCTGCTTGCAAGGCAAACTTCATGGCATATGCAGCCATGTCCTCCAACACCTTGTTGCCATCTCCCAACAATTGTCTCAGGCTGTCTAATGATAGGAGAGGACCTGATTGATTCACATATGTGATTTTTAGCAATACAGCTATTCATAGTCTGCAAAAATCAACAAGAGCACAACTTCTGTGGTGCTAGCAGCACATCATTTTTTTTCATGTTAGAAAATATGAGTTAAATCACAATAATTTAATTATATATGAGCTCTCTATTATATGGTGGCTTCCATATTAGCATGTAGAGCAGGAGTGTGGACTCATGTAGCCCTCCAGAAGTTGTTGGTCTGCAGCTCCCAGCATTTCTCACCATTGGTTTTGCTGGGGTAGGGATGCTGAGACTTGCAGTCGAACAGCACCTAGAGGAGTGCATAATTCCCATCTGGGATCTAGGGGAACACATGTGGTCTCATTAAAGGAGAAACGTTAAGCCAGGAAACTCTGCTCTTCAACTGTATTTGATAGAACTGAACTTACTTTCACTCATAGATGGAAATTAAAGATACAGAATCTCCTGTGCTCTTAACCCCAGTTGAGGAGATGGTTATCGTGAAGATTAAGCTACTTCCATATCAGTATGGTTTGCTGTGTGTGTACATGTCATCATGGTCTACACACCTGCCTTATTATAGCTATTTGTCTAAGAGATTATTTGGAATTCCAGTCACCTGTATCAATGCAGTAAAGGTTGTAGAATATTTCTCTGGACACTACTTTGTAATAAAAGGCTTCATTTTCATCTGTTCATATTTGCCCAATCTCACTAAATTTAATTCAGGAAACTAATGGAATGCACATTTTATCCCATGCCCCATTTCTCTTTTTATCTAAGTAGTATGATATTTTTTGACTTCTTTGTACTAATGTTAGTGCCCTGCTAAAGGGGGGCTAAGGGCCTTACAGACTGCCAGAAATAATGCAGCTTGAGGCCACTTTAATTGTCCTGGCTCAGTGCTAAGGAATCATGGGAACTGTAGTTTATTGTGGCACCAGAGCTCTCTGACAGAGAAAACTCAGTGTCCCATAAAAAATACAATTCCCATGATTCCCTAGCACTGAGCCAGGACATTTAAAGTGGCCTCAAGTTGTACTATTTCTGGCAGTCTGTAAAGGCATAACATTCCTGTAGTTAATGTAAACTAATGTCTCCAGGTTGTATTTTTTTCTCCCCAACCATTGTCCCACTTTTCTTTTTTCATGATCACAGAAAAGACAATTTTCTTATTTTTACAAATCTATGTTTTTTTAAATCAGTCCCATCAGTCTATCTAGGTATTTTTATCCTGCTTTCCTTTTAAAATGTTCAGGGTAGCAAACAAACCATATAAAATGCAAGTATAAAATAGCCAAAATAGGTAGGCTAAAATTATAATAGAAAAACATGCATGTACTACATTAGATTAAGCAGCTATCAGTGGAGTAGGAGAGTCAGGATTTTCAGGGTGCTTGACTTCTTGCTTAGCAGGATGGTAACGTCATCTTTGAACCTCATCAAGTTCTCTTGTCTCCTTTGAACAGGGGATGAATTTTCTGAGCAACAATTTATTGTTGCAAGCTATTGTGGTTGCACTACAGAATATTTGGGGTTGTTGTGGCTTATGAGTGGACAGTTATTGTTGTAGTGGCCCTTCAAATGGTTTCTGACTTATAGTGATCCTAAGGAGAGCATGGAGTTTTCTTGGCAAGATTTCTTCAGAGGAGGCTTGCCATTGCTTCCCATTGAGGCTGAGAGAATGTGCTTGCCCAAGATCACCTAGTGGGTTTCCATGGCCCAACAGGGATTTGAACCCTGGTTTCCAGAGTTGTAGTCCAACACCCATCCACTACACCAAAAAAGCCTGCTTCTGCTGGTGGAGGTAAAAACTTCTGGAAGTGGTTTGCTAATATGGATTAACTCTGGCTGCATCAACACTACAGAAATAATCCAGTTTGAATGTCATGGTTCGATGATGTGGAATTCTGGAAATTGTAGTTTAGTTTAGATACATTTAGCCTTCTCTGTCAGAGAGCTCTGGTGCTACAAAAAACTACAGATCCCAGTATTCCATAGCAATGAGCCATGGCAGTTGAAGTGGTTTCAACCTGGATTATATCTGCAGTGTGGATCCAGCCTCAGCCACCTACATAATCTGCTTCTCCCTGGAGGTTGGGCCATGGGTATTATCATGACTGAGTAACTTCTCTTCAAAATTTATCACTGATCATAAGCTAGATGAAAAAAGATATGTGCCTTGTATCTTTTTTGGAACTTCAAGTGAATACTGATTCTGTCTTTCTCTTTCTAGTTCAGATGTTTTTCTGAGCTGATGATGGTACCAGAAGACCATTTATTATTTCAGAAGAGTTTTGAAACAATTTAAGCATATAAATCATTTGGCTTCAAGCAATTTTGTCTCCGACATAAAATGAATAGTATGGATCAGAAATCACAGATTATTTTGTGGAGCTGAATGACTGAATGAATACCTAGAGATGCCAAGAGTGGATTAATGAATGAATATCTGGAAATAACCTGTGCTCTCCCAACCCCCAGGAAAGAGCAAGTGCCGCCAGTGGATCAGGCAGCTGAGTGGAGGAAGGGTGAGGAAGACCAACCATTCCTGCACTCTCCCAACCTACAGGAAGGAGCAAGTACTGTCAGTGGACCAGACAGGCAAATGGAGGAAGGGAGAGGAAGACCAACCATCCCTGTGGTACTGGAGAAGAGTGTTGAGGATCCTGTGGACAGCAAAAAGGACAAACAACTCAGTCCTAGAGCAGATCAAGCCAGAAATGTCCCTAGAAGCCAAGGTGACAAAACTGAGGCTGTCGTACTTCGGACCCATCATGGGAAGGGAGGACTCATTGGAAAAAAACAATAATGCTAGGAAAGGTGGAGGGAAGTAGAAAGAGTAGTAGGTCACATGCCAGATTGATGGACTCTTTTGAAGAGGACATGGGTATAGGCTTGCAGGAATTAAGCAAAGCAATAAAGGATCGGGGGTCTTAGAGATGTCTCATCCATAGGGTCACCGTGGGTTGTGATCGACTCAAAGGCAGTTAACACCAAAAACCTGGAAATGCCAAATTTAAATAGTGAAAAAGAGATAAATAAATGACAACTTGTGGCATAATATAACTTTAAATGCGTAACTACTATGGTTTTAGATGTACTTGGCAACAAAAGGGAAAAGTTTTAGCCAGCTGACCATTGGCTGTGATTGCTTAGAGGTACTATGCTCTGTTGTTAGCAGCTAATTGCTAGGAAAATATTAACCAAATATAAGGAAAAGAGGTAAAAACAACTCAAGTTTGAGGACTTGGATAACTGTCAGAGTAAAGTGGTGTGAGTGTTGGACTACGAACATGACTCTGAAAACCAGGGTTCAATTCCCAGCTGCACCATGAAACCCATTGGGTGACGCTCTCTCAGCCTCAGAGGAAAGCAGTGGCAAATGTCCTCTGAACTAATCTTACTAAGAAAATCTCATGATAGGTTCACCTTAGGGTTGCCATAAGTTGGAAAGGACTTCAAGGCACACCACAACAAGGGAACAAGGTCACTGTCTACAAGTAATGACAGGTTTATAAAAGCACTTGGAAGTATGAGACTTTGTCACTATCTAATCACATTCCTGTCAGATTGTGAGATGATTAAGTAATAAAGTGTTATATGTTTTCAACAGTTCTAGCTGTATTCCAGAGTTGGCTCACATAATATTAAAATTGATTTTTTTTCTAAATGTAAAAACTACCATTAATTGAGCTCATTATTTCTCTATAACTTTTTTTTTTTTACTTCTAGTGCTTCTTCTTGATATTATATGTAAACACTGCAGTGGTTAAGGAAGTTTTGATTTCATTGAGAAAATTTGTAAACTAATCCCTAGGTTAGAAACTCTGGGACCTACTGAAAAACTCTGAGCATACCTCCTGAATGTAACTTAGGGCCTTTGCAGACTGCCAGAAATAGTGCAAATTGAGTACACTTTAAGGGTTAGGGTTAGTGCTAGGGAATCATGGGAATTGTTTTTTTTCTGAGACATTGAGCCTTCTCTGTCAGAGAGTTCTGGTGCCACAATAAAATACAGTTCGCATGATTCCCTAACCCTAACCCTAACCCTTAAAGTGGACTCAATTTCCACTATTTCTAGCAGTCTGCAATTAGTACTTATTAGTTGCACCCTTTGGTTGTCCTGTTCTAATCAGAATGATGTAGTTATAAAGGAACAGAATTTTCTTCTGGAGTAAAAGGTAAAAGAGGAAATGTTTTATTATTGAATACAGAGCTGAATTGTGAGGCTTTCCCAAATTTTTGAAATGGTAAGTTTCCATATATTTAGCAGGCTGTAGAAACATTTGTATTTAATAACAATTTTTGGACAGCATACTAGGAAAACAACAGTTATTTCTTATTATTATGACACAGGAATATATTTAAACTGTACATTTTATAGCAAACTAATAGCAAAGTGGAACCATGGGGCAGACAACAGTCATTGATCTTTCTTTACTTAACATTTACCAACATATCATTCCTCCTTATAGTTCATGTATACTTTCTGTTTTCAAAATACTTCACAGACTTTCTTCTGATACTGTCAGTCCCCTGCCATAAAAAGAGGGCAAGGCAATTGCATAACCTTCAACTGTCTAGATTTGGCGGGAACAGCCCTGATTGTTTGTGGTTGCATTACATTGTCTATGATTAATTGTCTGTGATTCCACCTTTATACTGCTTTTGTAATGTCCCAGTTTATTTCTCCTTCTCCCATATTTCCCTTTTGTTCTCAATTTACTGCAACTGCTCTAAACTGAGTGCAAAATGAAAAAGTAGTTTGCACTCAACAACTCAACAAGAGAAGAGGAGAAGAGAGAGGGAATTGTTACCCCTGCCGTATGTGTTCTTCCTCATTTATAACTTTTGTCATCTTGACCAGCTTGCATGGCTGCACATGTCCCAGTTTTCATTTGGGAAATGTTGGAAGGTATGCAGTTAGCTATGGTGGCAGATGGTATATATCGGTGCATGTAGGATTGTATAAGCAGCACTGTCCTTGACTGTTGTTTTTCAGCACTTCCTCTTCCTTCTGTGTGTTCTCTGATGCACCCTTTAAATTAGCTTGCTGCCCTTAGAGTGAAATTCAGTTACCAGTCTGGTTTGCTAGTGTATGAAGAGGCATCTTGTCCTTTACCTTAGGTAGCAAAATGTCTTGTTTATTTCGTTCAAAAGCTATATAGTTGTGTTTTTTTTAAAATTATATCCTTCTCTTTTTCCAATTCAGGGGCCAAGGTGGCTTACCAAATGAATAATAAAAAAGCAACCAGTGTTAACAGTGAACAATTTTTAAAAATTATATAAGCAATCATTTACAACCAAACACTGAATTAAACAGTTTAAAAACATTTTAAATGTAATGAGAAGGGTTGGTGGGAATACAGCACTTCCCATTTGTCAAAACACACACCCCCTTGCACAGCAGTGAATGGGGAAGGAAGGGACTGAACCCTTTCTAGATATGCCAGTGTCCATCTCCAGAAGATTAAATTGACTTTGGGCTACTAAACCTGTTAGTCATTGCTGAATATTTATTGCTGAATATGGGGCAGCAGTAAGAGGAGGATAAAGTAGGATGAAGGGGAAAGGTGAGAGAAACTCTCTGTGTGTCTCTCTCCCTCCCTAGCAAAGGCTGCACAGCAACCAGACTGATCTGTCCTATTTACTTTCAGCTAGTTTGTAATCTGCATGATGTAAGGCGTTAATGATTTGCTCAGGTGAGATTATCTTCTCTTTCCAGATGGACCTCCTGTCCTGCTGAGCATCATGACAGAATGCCTTATCATTTCTCCTTGGGGGAAAAAGAGATGGATGCTGTGTGAGGAAAGACAATCTGTTTCAAAAGGCTGTTATGTTTGGAGACTGGACAAACAGGTTGCAGAGAAACCAGTAATGGTCATGCATCATAGTGAATGTAACATTCCTTCCAAAATGGTTATCATGTATTTTCCCACTCTGAAGTATGCTTATCCTTCTCTTCTCTTCTCCTTTTCCTTCCTTCCTTTTTTTCTTTTGATCAGCCTCCACAATATATTTTTTCCTCCATGGGACTGTGTCCATAGCAATGGCTGGATGGCAATCATCTCCTCTGACAGCAAAATAAAACAAAATGAACAGTGTTTCAGCACTATCACTTCCTTCCTGCCACCTTTGCTGCTTTGTTTTACAAATGAAATTTGCACTCTGCTGTGATTTATGTATCTGTCTTTCTGGAAACAATAAACTGAAATAATAATACTTGTAGCTGGATTAAAGAGCCCTCACTTTTAACACTGATGATGCAGAGAACAGAAATCCATATGTAATAGTTATTCTTATTGCTCTGGTGGCCATTTTCTTAAGCCAGAAAACTCCCAGTTTTGAAAAGGGGTGTGCTGAGCACCTCTAGGAGCAGGGATGAACCTGAGATGGACCGGGGTGGCAGATTTGGTAGCAAAATCACTGCAATAGTATCAGGATGCCAGCCGAATTAAAATTTAAGTCGGGATAGGTAAGACGATTTTAAAAGCCATGCTATCTTCTCTTTCCAGATCCCCTTAAAGATCTATTAAACCAAAACATCAATCAGTAGTGCAGAGTTTACAATGCTTGGCAATGATTTTAAACTACAAGCCTGTAGTGGGCCGGTTACATAGGCAGCTTCCATCTGATTGCATACAATAGGTATTTATGATAATCTATATGTGATATATGTGGGCAGTGTTTCAACAATGGAGTTTGTCACACGGGGGAAATCCCGTGTGAAAACGGGGTTTTAAATTAGAAAAAAACCATGAAAGCGGCCATGATTTCAAACGACGTT